TCATTATTGATGTTTCTTAGCTAAGAGATTTTGAGAAGGCATGTACGGAGTTTTACCGTATTTCAAACTGAAGAGAATGGAGGCTTGCTTTACCCATGTGGGGGATAAATACATATATGTGTGCAGTTCTTATGTACAGCCAGTGATCCATAAAGCTGTGTAGTTTATAACTCTTTTTATAGAGGCCTGTAGATACTGAATGAGTTAATTAAAAAATAGATTATCAGCCATTTTCTTTTGTAGTTTCTTCCATTACTTCTCATCTTTAAATTCAGCTGTATGAATGATTGTATAAATGACTCTCTGACCTTTTAAAGGGAATTTATCTGGCCCTACGCAAACCAAGTCTCCAGGCAGCTGCTCGAAAGCCACCACAAGGTAAACAAAGCAGTGATCTTGCAGACTATCTAACTTATGCCAGGTTGAAGTTATTACCTGTGCTTCTGAAGAGCTTCTGGGTCTTACCCTTTAACTGATTTGAAGAACAAAAAAAATGTCTGGTGTGACAGTTTTCTTAAAGCATTGCTAACTGTTTGTTTAGCTCATTTCTAAGGCCACATGGAACAGACAAGACGTTTAGGAAGGTTTTCAGTCTTTTTTTTTCAGTCTTATATTTTTAAAGGAGGAAAAGTATTCATAATTAAAATACAGTCATTGCCCTAGCCAGGTGACCCAGTTAGTTGGAGCGTTGTCCTGTGCACCAAAAGTTTGCAGGTTCATTCCAGGTCAGGGCACATACCTAGGTTGTGGGTTCAATCCCTGGTCAGGGCACATATAGGAGGCAACCAATTAATGTTTCTCTCTTACATCGATTTCTCTCTTTTTCTCATCCCTCTCCCCTTGTCCTCCTCTCTTCCCTTCCCTCCCTCCTTCTCTAAAATCAATAAATATATCCTCAGGTGAGGATTAAAAAATAATAAATAAAATACAGTCATTAACTATGTAAGGGGAAACCTCTAGAAACCCTTGTTGGAGCTAAGGAAAGCTAAACATGTTCAACTTCAGTGGTTGCAGACATGAATCTGTATGGAGCATTAACTTTTGTTTCTGAGTGTGTGCTTCGAGAACTGTGTTGACTTCATTACAGGACTTCCCAGGTAGCAATGGTAAATGATGAAGAGCCGGCCATTCCTGCACTACAGATGGTCCTTATCACTGGAATGCAGTGGAATGACTGAACCCACATAGTGAAGAGCAAAGCAAAAATCCTCTCTTCCTCCAGAAAGAGACCCAGTCTTTCTGAAAGACAGATGACTAGAGTGCTCTTCTTACTTTTTCAGCTTGATACTGATAAAGGAAAGAATTTAAGATTCTATAACATTGTTTGATTTTGCTGCTTTTTGATGGGGGAGATGCTTCAAGTTGGTAACAATGTTGTATTTTGTGGTAGCTGTGGAATTTCTCCTCTGGGAAAGGAAAGTGGTTCTCTTCTGGTAGTGAATAGAGCTTTATAAAACTGTATTTTTCATTCTGGAGAGTCTAGTGAGTTAATTTTTTCAAGTGTTCAAGCTGAAAATGTGTGCAGATTTCTGTAGGGAACAAGGGAGGGAAATAAGTGCCAAGAGGATTCATACTATGTTGGCTTTATTTATTTACTTACTTATTTATTTATTGCTTTAGAACTGAATTCTTGCGAATCTCAAAATGATTATGTTGTCCTGGATGCGTAGCTCAGTTGATTACAGTGTCATCCTGATTTGCCAAAGCTGCAGGTTTGATCTCCAATTGGGGCACATACAAGAAGCAACCAATGAATGCATCAATGAGTATAACAACAGACTGATGTCTGTCTCTTTCTCTCCCTTCCTCTCTCCCTCTAAAAATCAATAAAATAAAAAATAGTCAATTATGCTGAGTAAAAGAACCCAGAGAATGTATGATTAAAATTCTAGAAAATGCAGACAAATATATAGTGACAGCAGATCAGTGATTGCCTGGGGAAAGTGCGAAAAGGGAAGAAAGGCTTACAGAGGAGTAGGGGGAAACTTTAGAGTGATAAATGTGCTTACTACTTTGGTTGTGGTGATGGTTTCACACGTGTATGATTGTCAAACCATTGCAACTCGTCAAACTACATTTTAGATATATGCAGTTCATTGTATGCCAGTTTTACCTCCATATAGCTTTTTTAAAAAGGTAATTAAACAAATCCAGGGGCAGTGTTTATCAAAGGACCCTTTTTTTGGGACACAGGGAGACTGCTGAAGACTGGTATGTGAGATACAAGCCTTGTACAGTGTGTTAAGTATGGATACACACCTCTTATTTAATGCATTTGATTTTTCTTTAGGAGTCCATAGAGGCTAGTATATTCTACTGAAGAAGATGTCTAACAGTAATACTACTCAAGAGACCCTGGAAATAATGAAAGAATCAGAAAAAAAACTGGTAGAAGAATCTGTAAACAAAAACAAGTTTATATCTAAGACTCCAAGTAAGGAAGAAATTGAGAAAGAGAGTGAAGACACCAGTTTGCGTCAGGAGACACAGGTAAGGATTAGACGTACATCATACGCACACTTTTATACCTGAACGGAAGTGTCATTATAGGTGTCATTGAAGATGTATAGGAAGCCAGTTGCTTACAAACACTTGATTTTCCGTAGAAACCCAACTTCAGCTCTCAAGAAATATCTTCTTACATTTTTGTCATAGACTCCACAATGAAGTCTAAAGAAGACAGAGTGAAATCCCTAATCCATTTAGATTTGAGTCACCCTGGTTCTTGCTACGTTTTGGTATTTTTTTAACTATCAAAAAATAAACTATACAAACACATTTAACAAGTCATGATATGGCCCATACAATAAACTCTTAATAGTAGAGCTTCCTGGCTTTACACACAGTGTTAAATTCGTATCCTGGTTGTGTTAAAGCAGTCAGCATTTTCTGGGTCAGAAATAGTCTCTGAACTTGCCACTTGGTAAATGTGAGAGGAATTTCACTCTTTGGTTGCCATGTTGTTTTCCATCCAGATTCATACAGTAGTACAGATACTATGGCAGTAGATGATGGTCAGCCAAGCTTCCTCTTCTTTGGTACCTAACCAGCCCACACTCTAGCTTACCTGTTCCAAGTCCTCCTCTTCTTCTGTGGTCACTGCTGGTGCTTTCCTTTGTCACCCTAGCCCAAACTACATAAACCCTTTCCTTCACACCCAGAAATGAGACTGGTCTTTATTATATGCTTAGGAAATAGACTATTGGTGTAAAAAGCAGTAGCAACAATATTTTGTAGGGTCTGGAAACCCAAAGCGTAATTTCCCTTGACAACTCAACACACCTAGGTCTTGTCTTCTTTAAAGAGTAAAACAGCAACAGCATAAAGGGATGAATTAAAATCAGACAGCTCTCTAAAATATTTTGTTCTCTAGCTGCCTGCTTTTCTGTATTTCCTCTTAACAATTTGCCAGATCTCTGTCCTGGCTGCTTTTCTTTCCATTATCTTCTGCATGTGAGTTGTCATTCCCACTCATCTCTCCACAGTTTGTGGAGACAATCTGCCACCGTTCCATCTATACTTTTAGACTCCACTGGTACGAATAATGAATTTTAAATCCTCAGGACAGATATGTGATGAATGTTTAATTATGCACTGTCATGTTACATGGAAGATAATAATTAAATGAACTTTTGGGTCCAGATTACTCTGTTCTCAAGAGACTATTTTAAGTGGTGTTCTGAACTCCCTTTGTGTGTACTCCTTAAAGATAGGTAGAAAAGAAAGGGTGTCTATAGGTTTTATATGCCTCATGGACACTCTGTTAGTTTAAAAAAAAATGTATTCACCTAGATATATAAATAAGCTGTGTAGGAGGTTGGGAGGGGAGCATCTTTGCCCTCTGACTCCTTTTGCAGCTACTAGAGCAGGTGGAGCTTCTGCTGCCATCTACTGGAGCTCCTGCTCCTCCTACAAAGTCTTCAGTGTTTTCCGCCACCGTCTCCCCTCTACAATTTCCCAAAAGATCATATATCCCTGAAAAACCACTCAAAGTTCTTCTCTTTCTGCTACCTTCCCCCTGACTCACATCCAGGAAGTCTCCCCCAAAATCTTACTTGATCCTTTCAAGGGAGTGCCTGTTATGAATTGGAGGTGGGAAGTTTGTGGAAAGGGGACTTTCATTACTTACACTGTGTGAGACATATTCTTGGAATCAGCATTGGAGCTCAGAACATCTTTTACAGGGGAACAGTTCTATAAAATTCAAGTTCTGAGATTCAGTTTAAAATGGGCAAAGCTTTGACTTAACACATACTGAACTTAGGTGGGTCCTTTAAATAACCAGCTGGGTATGGCCTCCTACCTGAGCTTTCTGCCTTTAATCATGTAATCCCTTCTGATTCATCTACCATACTGCTTTAGAAAGATGGTTATGAAATAAAGATCTCATTGTGTTAATTCTCCTCAAACTTTCTGTGTGTCTTGCTGCCCTAGGCCAAGTCCCAGATTTGTCAGCATGACATACTATGACCTAGTTCCTTACCTGCCAGTCATCTGCCTCTGGCATCTTATGTTTCAGCATTATGTGATTCCTTGGTCCTGTTATAAATAGTGTTTGAAAAGTTTGGAGACAGCGTGCCTTTGTACATGCTTTCTCTGCCTAGAAGGCCCTCCTTAGTATTCTTTCCCTGGCTTCCTCCACCCCCTAAATCCTACCTGCCAACATTTGTATAATACTGATTTATCTTCAAAATTCAGTCCAAATGCATCTTTCTCCTGGAAGTCTTCCTTGACAACCTTACTTACCCATTGCAGGTCTACACTGTATAATTCCTCAATCTATGTCTCTCTCCTTTACAGAACTGTAAGCTCCATGAGGCCCAGGATTAGGTCAGTTTGGGCTTACTATTCTAGCTCTAAGGCCCAACACAGTTCCTTGGAGGCACTCAATATTTGTTAATGTATGAATTTGTGAATTGCTAGGTCTCAGACACTTATGCTGTGTGCTCCTATAGCACTCCATGAGTACCATCTCTAGTGCACTTAATGTACTATATTATATCGCTTCTCAGCCTTTTGGCTAAGATCAAGTGTAGTATGTGTTCTTATGAGTTTAATGTACTGTATTGTAACTGTCTATTTGTCTGTCTTCTTCAACAGGATTATGAGTTCCTTTTTGACAAGGTTTGTGTCTTTATCTCTGCATCCTCCAGTAGTTAGCATGGCATCTGGTAGATACATTAGGCTTTCAATATATGTTTAATCGTTAAAATTATCCATTCTGGGGGAAAAAGGATCTATGTATATACTGCTCGTAGGGTTATAACCTCTTTGAAGGGCAATTTAGTAATACTCTATAAAATTTCTAAATGAACTGCAGATAACTTTATTTGTAGATATACTCAGTGTTATAGTCATTGAAGCATTGTTTATACTAACAAAAGATCAGAAACATCCAAAATGGTTCAATTTAAGGGACTGGTAAAATAAGTTATGGTACAGCCACACAATGGAATAACATATGGCCATTAATAAAAACAGTAGATCTTCTATAAAATGATATCCATGGAAAAAAGTTTAAAAGCAAGGTTCAGAGCAGTATGTACAATGTACTTCCATTTGGTTTAAAAAAAAACAAATGTGTATATACACATGTACAATAAGCTTATTACATATGCATAAAAGATCTCTGGAAAGATTACAAGAAATTCATTATTAGTTGAGGGAACCAGGTAGCTAGGGTCAGATGCCCCCATTAATTCCTCTTGAATGTTTTCACTGTGTGTGTGTTATTGCCTATTTGAAAAAAATAGAAGATACTGCTTCATATTTCTGGACCATGACTCTTCCCTTACTGTAACAGATCTTGGCACTGACAAGACCCACTGTCATTTCTTATTCTTCCCATTCACCTTCCTGGTACTCCATTTTACATTGTAGTTGTCTTGTTCAGTAGCTAGTGGAAAAAACAAGGGGAAGAGAAACCCTCATCTACCCAGGACTATGCTGGTACCTTGACTCTGTCTTGTTTTCCCTCCCCAACATACCACCCTCAGTTCTCTTCTACCCCAGTTGGCAGTGAGTTCCATTCTAAACATCTTAGAAACTGTAAGTACCTCATCCCATACACAACCTTACCCAACCTCTTCCCAAAAGCCCCATTTTGACTTCTCAGCTGTTCAGAAATCACATCAATTAATTAGTTGTTTCTTCCCTCATCCCACCTCAGGCCCCCATTCTTTATCTTCCTCAGCTTCTACCCTTATCCTTACCCACTCTCTTTATCCTCCATTTTGCTCTGGAGGTCTTACCCGTATCTTCCATTCCCCCTTCTTTTTTCCTGTCCCGTCATACATCCCTAACCTAGAGAGCCTATAAGAGCCACAATTAGGAGCTTAGAACAGGAGGAATTCTCAGAAGGAGGCAGCTGGCCAGAAGAGCCTTTATTCTGTTTCTGCAGCCAAAGGGACAGGTGTTTTGAGTATCTCAAATTGGGACTCTGAATGCATTGTCCTATAAAGATGTTATTTCTAAGTGATGGCGAGGGGTTATATTTCATGTCCACAAGCATCTTTATCAGGAGAGGGTTCTGTGGTTTAACCAAAAGTAATTTTTATCAGTCTGTGAAGTAGGCCAACCAGTCAGTATCTTCCTGTTTTTAATCTACATGGCGAGTGGTGATTTGTCTGTAAGTGGCCTGTGGTGCCTTCTATGTCATAGTTACTAGAGTTGTAGCACAGGGGAATAATAATCACACCAGGGGGATCTCATCATAGTTTGGCTGTTGTAATAGTAGTTTTACAGTTAGTGCTTTTTTTTCTGTAAACTTATATTTCTTTTAATTTGTGTTGATTTTTCCCCACCTTTAATATTTTTTAATCCCCTTCTAACAGAGGCGGACATCCAGCCATGGTCATGCCAGGAAAAGAGCTAAGGTGAGTGCTTTTTCTCTAAAGCTTCCTTTCTGGCGTTACTAGTAATGTATTTCACAAGTGGATTTATCACTAGTATCTAGTTTATTTGCTTTATATATAGGCAGTTTTTTGCCTGCACTTTGTACCCTAATTGTGAATATTCATATGCAAATACACACACTGAGAGACATGCATGCACACATTTCCTGTTGTAAGATCTAGCTTTATTTTTCTCCAATATCTCTAGTTCAGTCATATCCTGTTTCTGATACCTAGAAAGATACCCAGCTGGAGCCTCCCACAAAGCCTAAGCAAACTGGTACTGGTTCTGCTGTAATGCTAGTTTCTCTGCTCAGCTCTGACTTCTCTGAGAGAATGGCTGCTATATAAGTCTTACTTTTGTTCCTCAACATTTTCTCCATATGAAATTTTTAAAGATAAATATCTTTAAAAATATATCCCCATTAGTAGAAATGACTCAACATTCTGGACATCCTAAAAATACAGCCATTTTTTAAATGGTTTACTTTTTAGGTTGTGACAAGGATCAGGACTTTGTTTTTAATTATTATGTGATAAAATTAGCACATGACAAGTCATTTTAAGCAGTGTCATCAGGGAGGGCTGTGTGTATTAGTGTTTGCTAGCATATTAATTTTAGTTGGGAAACCATAAAATGGTAAACTTTTCTTGCAGTGGAAAGAATTGTGACCAGAAGTAATAATTAAGGGAGCCTACCTTTTTCCCCCAGGAAAATAATGGCAGAATTTGAGAGTCGCCCAGCCATTTTGTTTCCTGGGTTTGAAGAAGGCTACTATGTATGATTAATTGGCTCTGTGTTTTGCCTTACATGGCCTATTAATTCACAGTGATGGGCTTGACATTAAAGTTCAAGCAGAGGGTGTTCGCTGCTCTTTCACTTCCTCTCGAACTTTTTGAGTTGAGTAAGATAATTATTACCTTGATTTTACAGATGGGGAACCTTGGCTTATAGAGATTGAGTAAGTTTAACAAAGAAAATTTATTAGTAAGTGGCAGAACCTACGCTCGAAGTCAGTTCTTCAGACTTGCAAGTTTTTTCCACAATTCTGCACTACCTAGAATACGGATACCATGTTTTGTGCTTTTGTATTCATTGTAAACCTTGCTTTTATTGTAAGAACTCAGTACATGTTTATAGGTAGATTTCTTATGAGTCATTCTGTAATTTTTGGCTTTGGAGAGCCCTAGGAGAGCAGTAATTTGCAAAATGAATTTCAGTCAGTAATCTTTGGGGATTCTCCAGTCAGCACAGGCAAACCAAATGGATTCACTTTTGGTGAATTCCTAATTGTTAGAGTGTTTTCTATGTTTCTTTTTATTCTTTTTTTTTTTTTAGACACTTCTTTCCATCTTTACCACCTAAGGTTTAGAGTCATTTAGCATTTATTGTCTACTGTATAGTAGGCACTATTTATGAAACATATTTTTACGTACTTTATGTCATCTAATTCTTACATCAGCCCTTTAACTATTTTTATTCCAGTTTTATTGAAAAACAGAGACCCAGAGAGACCAAGTAATTAGTTCAAGGTTCCCTAGCTCATAGGCAAAAACCAGGAGTTGAAGCTAGGACTTCTTCTGGCTCTTAAATCCAGTGTCTTTCTACTAAACTCTGTTGCTGTGTATTCCTAATAAACTTGTGGGTCTGAAATAGGAGCACTGGGCTAGAGATAGATAAAAAAGAGCCAAGTGAAGTGGTTTTCCTATCTGTCTAAAGTAGCAGTTTTGTTTTTATGTGTCCATTATTATAAGCAAGAGAATTATCTTTCTTTTGGGGGCTGGTGAATTATCCTTCAGGTGAATAAGGAACTAGCGAGTAGGACCTGTTTTTTAAAAAACGGTTTTTAATAGTAGCAGCAACTAGAGCCAGAGAGGATGCCCATTGTTCAGCCAAAAGCTTTCTGAATGTCTACCAAGGGAACATAATATGTATTTGTTTTTTCTCAGTCTAATTCCAAGCTCAAGTTGGTACGCAGCCTGGCAGTGTGCGAGGAGTCCTCTGCCCCATTTGCTGATGGGCCACTAGAAACCCAGGTAGGTCCTTTATAAGAGTAAATGTAGCTTTTGAGTTTGGCACTTGGTTGGTAATCTGTAGTGTAGTGTTTACAATGTCAACACTAGGCTTGGAAATCAGGGTAGAAAGAGTTTTAAAACAAGCCATTACAGTAAAGTATGGCATGGGTGAGAGCAGGAATATAGGTCTTCATACCTGGACCACCCAAGATAATGCAGACAAGGAGACCCTGGAGCTGGGTCTTATTTTCCCTCCCACATCCTTTGTCTCTGGTGGTTAGAACCATGTCCATCCAATTCCTACAAGAACGGCCAGTGTAACTTGGACTGCCCATATAATATAAGGCTGTGGTTGTTGATAGAAAAGGCTTGGCCTTTACCCATTTGGTAGAACAAATGCTAAAGCAATTTAATTAAAAAAAAAAAACACAACAACTCTCTCCTGTAAGAGAATGCTGCCAATCCAAGATTTACCTTCTTTGAGATTTCAGGGGAGCTACAGGAGAGTTAAAGCCCATTTCCCCTTTTATCATGTTTCTCTTTACCCTTGTCCAAGGATATAATTCAATTGCACATCAGCTGCCCCTCTGACAAAGAGGAGGAAAAGTCCACAAAGGATGTATCCGAAAAGGAAGACAAGGACAAAAACAAAGAAAAGGTCCCAAGGAAGATGCTGTCTAGAGGTGAGGACTCTTCCCCCATTCTCAGTTGTCCTAGGGCTTGGCTCAACAGTGCCCTTTCCTTCCATCTAGAAGCTGGCACCTGCTGGCCTCACTGACCCAACAGTTCATTGTGTCCTACTTACTTCATCCTTGCTTGGGACGGTGCCTAAGAAGGTTACTTTCTTTGCTGCTTTATCTAACCCTATCTTAGGGGCTTACATGCCACAGATAGCTACTCCATTAACATTGGTGCTACCATGGGAGGACATTGTATTCAATTCTGATTTTATTTTTGCTCTGGAATAAACGGTGACATGGATCATCACTAGCTGCGGCTCCTCCAGAAACCATTTATATTTTGGGATGCTTGATGTAATTTTTTTAACTGCAGATTTTCATGTTATTAAGCTCTCTTTGGTTTTAAACTCTTGGGCTGATAGTGAAAAGACATGATCCATAAAAATGATACTTGAGCCCTGGCTGGGTAGCTCAGTTGGCTGGAACATTGTCCTGGTACATCAAAGGTGTGGGTTCAGTGCCCGGTCAGGGCACATACAAGAATTAACCAATGAATGCACAAATAAGTGGAACAACAAATTGATGGTTCTCTCTCCCT